GCAGGAATGTAAACAAATATTGAACTCTAGTTAATGATATGTATCATAAAGTATTAGGGGTGAAGTATGCTGATGTCTTCAACTTACTTTGAAATGCAACAAAATATAAAATGAATTTATGGACAGAGACAGGGATAGTTAGATGGACAGATATGTGATAAAACAAATATTGCAAAATGTTAATTGTAGAACGTAAGTGGTGAATATATGGATGTTTCCTCTACAATTCTTTCAACTTTTATGTATATTTGAAAATGTTCATTATAAAATGTTGATTGAAAAAAACCAATTAGGAGGTTTAAGTTTATTGATGTTATAAGGAAAAGAACTGTTATGGAACATTTGAGAGCAAAACATGTATCTGCTGTGAGCTCTGTGCCTTCCGGGTGGTTTGGGAACTTTTTGAGACAAAGAGTTATAAAGTAACAGGCTTTCAGAGGAGATAGTGGGAAAACTGTATGGAACCCACAATGATTGAACACAGGCCTGTGCTTGATCAAAAGCTAAGTGTGGTCTAGACCAAAGAAAAGTCTTCTTGGCCTATTTCTGTGGAAAGAAGCCAGTTTACTCCTAAATTGAGGTTTTGGTAAAATTGAAATGATAGTTTTGGGGTCCTGAGGCCAAAGGGTTATCCTAGAGACTTACCAGTAGATGATTTCAGACCAGAAAGGAATGGTCTTGGACTTGGGAATATGTTGATAACTATCAAGAAAGATAAACCACCATAAACACTGAAGCTACAGAGAGGCTGAGCTGGATTGCAAGGAATAAAACAGGACCCCATTAATCAGGAATGTGAAACTGTACTCCTTGCCCAATCCATATGAATTATACCTAGTCACGTGTACACTCTGAGAAAGTTTCTTTTGCATTTTAAAAGCTGTGTGTGCTCTGCTATGCTGGGAGGGCAGTTGGGGGGAAGCGGAATCGCTTAATACTAGGGAATTAACAGGAAAGAGACTCAGAATCAAAGGGGGAAAGTGATTTTCTCTAAGAAGAACAAGGGAAAAATTTTTTCTAGTAAACTAACTTGAGTTTGACCAGCCATTAAGTTACCTAAAGGTAAAAGCTTTGGGCCTATCCCTGGATATTTCTGATCCATACCTCTCCTTCATTCCTTTCCCTCCACCTCCACCCCAAGTCGTTTTGGACAAAATGACTACGTTCTAATATAGGAAGCCAGGTTATCATATAAGCTGGGAGTCAGTGATTTGGGCCATTTGGGGAGGGTGTAAGGTATTCTAGGATGAAGAGAGACCAGAGAAAAAGGTGTAGTAGGTGAGAGAGAATAAGAACGCACTTACAGTCGGCTTGGCTGCTGGCCAGGGCCTGATACCCCAAACTGGAAACTGAGACTAGAGGAATAATGGAGAAGGAGGATACTGTAATGCAGTAGACTTAATCCCTAGGTTAGAGCTTCGGAAGCTTCTACATTTGGGGAGGAGAGGATGAAAGCAGAAGGTTTCAACACTGTGCTGAATTGACTCTTGGCTTACTTCTCTTCTCTCAGCTCTGCCATCTCCTCATTGTCCTGCCTTTGCCGAAGATGGAAGCCAAGGAAGCCTGCCAGGAGCAAAAATCATACTGATGAGCCAGCCTCAAGTGAGCTAAGGCCCCTTCCTTCCCTCCTGGAAATATATCACTGCCTCCTAAATGTGGCCTTATTTTCACTGCCTTCCCTGGCTATGCACCTCCAAGTCCACGTGTTCCCTCTCATAAGGGATACTTTGTTGGGTGACAAACCATTTGTGGATTGTTTCCTCTTTCGTTGTTTTTTGCTGTTGAAAGCTGATGCTACCTTTCACCTCATCCCCAAATATACATGAAACAGTAACAGCCTTTCACTTCTGTAAACCTCTCTACAAATTCCTTTCTTCTGCCTCTGTTTCCTGAGGGAACTATGGAGTTTTCTCCAGGATAGCAGGGACATATTGTTTCAGGAGGCAGTGACATTTGAGGATGTAGCTGTGAACTTCAGTAATGAGGAGTGGCAGTGTCTGACCCATGCTCAAAGGCACCTCTATAAAGATGTGATGTTGGAAAATTATGGGAACATGGTATCACTTGGTAAGGACTTCCCCTGCACTTGGCTTAGTACTTTCTCCCTTCCTTTTTCTTTTAATTGCTTTATTTATTGATGTGTATGGGGTCTCATATTGAAAATCAGAGCTCTCATTCCATATCATCAATACCTTCCCCCAAATTAGTTTTGAGTTGCCCCTGTTACATAGCAAGATAATTTTCTGGCTAACCTAGTTGTTTTCTGATTCTTTGCAATGAAACTCTCCCTGGGTAAAAAGGAGACACTTGACGTCTGTTCTCCCTGGATTCTCACCTCCTCAGGCCTCTCATTTTCCATTAAATGCTCTGTATTCAGCTCTTAGTCATGAACTCCTTCCTAGTGGCTGAAAACAGATTAACCCCCCTCTACAGACTCCCATCCTCCTAAAAAGAACAGGGAAAATACAACCAACTGACTATTTCCCAGAATCTCCTTCTTTGCCCTTCTGAGTATTGACTTTTCTGAGAAATTTCCTAGACCTGTTCATTTACATGTTACCAGACCCCTGAATAAACCCTTTTCTCTACCCAAATGGACATTTCTTTCCTATTTCCATATGCAAACAGAGGGGTCAAGGTAAGCCTTAGGACAGTTCTCTGTTGCTCTACACACTGTCTTCTTCCTTCTCTACAACCAGGATTTCCATTTCCTAAACCTCCTTTGATCTCCCATCTGGAGCAAGAGGCAGAGCTCTGTGTTCAGGATGGACAGGACAGAGAGTTCCTGAGCTGCTCCCACCCAGGTGAGTGCCAGAGAAGCTGTCAGTCCGCTTCTGTGTTCCGTGTGACAGAATGGTTATAGAATGTTCTTAGTGGTGGGTCATCCATCCTGAAGGGCCCAGAAGGAAATCTATTTAGGAATCTTAAGGCAGAGAAATCAAACTGTTTGGATAATTATTCTGTCATTATCTAATTGGCTGTTTGCAACCTATCTAATATAGGCTTTTTGCAATTTAGTCCTCCAAAAAGGCTCAGACAATTCATCTCCCCTCTGTGTATCATTTACTCCAGTGCTCAGAGAGCATTGCCTTTCTGCCTCAGTTGTTTTCTTTTTTTTTTTTAGGACCTTCCCCCATTTGGAGACCTGAGCCTTTGACCCTTGCCTTTTCTATTCTCTCTTATTGTGAAGTTAGTTAGTTTCTCTCATGGCTTCAGCTCTTAGCTCTGATGCAGATGCCTGCCACATTGATAATGCTAACCTTTACCTCTTTCCTGGGCAGCAGTCTCATGTTTCTAACTCCTGGTTTTTATTTGAATATCCCATTGTCATCTGGAAAGCAACCTATCTAAAGTCAAATTCTTCTCTCCCTCCAAGGCTGTCTCTTCATTAAACTCTCCATATTTCTATATCTGGTTCTACCTCTTTCTTACTTTGTCTTTCCATTCCCTGAACCTCTTATCTAGTCAGTCATGAAATATTACCAGCTCTTCATTCAAGCTATTTTCTGTATTTGTCATTCAAAAAAAAAACTTGTCCTTTGTTTCTAGGCCAACTCCAGCTGCTGTGTCCACAATGCCTACTCTTCCTTCCTCCCTTCCTTCCATCTAAAAAACATTTATTGAGCAACTATCATATGCCAGGTACATATGAGCAACTATCATATGCAGTCAGATAAGATATGGGCGAGCCCTGACTTACGGAAGCTTATTTTCTAGTGGGGAAGGCAGGTAAGTAAATAAATAATTATATAGGACAGTATGGTGGGAGTTCTTGGGATATGTAAATAGGGATATGTACCTGGTATATACAAACATAGAGGAGAAGCACCTAAATCTGACCTGGGGACCAGAAGACTGCAGAAGGAATGACAACTGAATTAAGTTATGTAGGATAAGTGAGGTCATTTAGTTGAAGGAGGGGCAGAGGGGAATAACAAGTGGGAAAGTATTGAGGAATAAAAGAATGTGAACTGTGAATAGTTCAGTGTGACCAGAGCCAAGGACTTGGAGTAGCCAATGGGGAAATTACAGGAGCAGTAGACAGGGACAAGATCATAATTGAATGAGCTTTTGATAAACTGCAGACCTTTAACTTTATTCTTATAATAACAGCTAAGATTGATTAAGTACTTATTTTGGTGTTGGAAGTGCTTTGCATACATTGACTCATTTAATTATTGTGGATAGTCTAGATCCCATTTTATAGATATAGCAACTGAGAGAAGTTACAACATCCTCCCAAGTTTGCCCAGGTATTAGGTGTCAGAACTAAGATTTGAACCCAGACAGTGAGCTGGGGCTCTTGACTGTACACTTTACTTCCTTTCTGTCTGATTAACTATGGAGTGCCATTGAAGTGTTTAAAGCTAAGGAGTGATGTGATTAGATTTGATTTTTAGAAGGAATAATCCAGAAGCAGTATAGAGTTTGGATTAGAGGGGAGGCAGGCTAAAGGACATTTGAGGGTTATTAAAGTTAGCTGGTGAGAATGCACTGGCAGTAGAAGTGAAGGAGACAGGATAGAGTTAAGAGATAATAAGAGATTGATTTGGACTCTGGTTACCAACTGTAAAAAGTAACTCCAGCTAGCTTAACCAAAAGAAAAATAATTTATTATTCAGGGTGTGTCAGGGAACTTAAGGGCAGGTATACATGAGGCTCAAGAAGGGATTGGAATGCCATCAGGCCCCACTCTCCAGCTGTCTTCTCTGCTACGCTGTGGGTCGCTTCATTCTCCTTTCTTGGCAGATGGATCTTCTCTGCTTCTCAGTCCCGATGGCAGAGCATTCCCTCCCCTACATGACATACCATACCACCACCACTGGTTCTCAAATTTAAGTGCTAAAGCTCTAGCTCTCTTCAGAGCCTGGCCTTACCTGCTTTCACATCATGATTCTAGAGTTCATGAAGAGAGAATTTGTCCTGGTTTGGGTCAGGTCTTGCCCAGATCTAATCTGCCCTACCCAGATGGGTGGAGTTACACCACAGAAATATGGCTCTCCAGGGCCCACTCTCAGGAGCAAAGCAGACAGACCCCTAAAAAAGGAGGCTGTGCTGGCACTTCAGCCCCCGCTTTGCAGCTCCCATCACAGGTAACATTTATACAATGTTAGTGAGTACATATGAGAAGTTGAAGATGATTTCCGGTTTCCTGTCTTAGGTGACTAGGTGTATGAAGTTGTCATTCACTAAACTGGGAGATTCTAGAGCATGAGGAGATTTGGAAGGATTTTTGTAAAGTTTACTCAGTTTTAAATATCTTAGTACTTTTCAGTAGTTCAGCCTATTTTGACCTTACCATAATATTAGCAATTTTTCAAGCATGGGAAAGTCAGTTACTCTTCCAACAGCTTAACCATTGCTTCACCTCTTCCAGCCCACTTATTTCCTTTCCTCTGACATTTTTATTTTCTTGTTTAAGTATCAGCTGCCAAGACACAGCCTGAGAATGAGAAGGCAGGTTCAGAACAGGCGGTTTTTGAAAATGGAGAAGTCTGCTGGGTGAAATTTAAAAGTCTCCTAAAAGTTGTTTCCCAGGATACAGCGGTTGGAGAAGTTTGTGTACAAGATGTCAAATTAGAGAATCAATGGGAAATGCCTATGAGGGAGAAACTGAGAGAAGAGAAGGAATGCTGTGAGAAAGTGACCTTCAAGAAAGGAAAGAACCAGAAGGTACTTAGAAAAAACTCAAAATGTATTCCATATAGAGTTCTTACAGAAAAGAAACTCCATGAATGTGCCAGGTGTGGCAAAAACTTCAGCTGGCATTCTGACCTAATTCTCCATGAGCGAATTCACTCTTGCGAAAAACCCTATGTGTGTAATGAGTGTGGGAAAGCATTCAAGACCAAAAATCAGCTTTCTTTGCACCAGATAATCCACACAGGGGAGAAACCCTTTAACTGTAGCCAGTGTGGGAAGGCCTTCAACAGTAGATCAGCTCTTTGCCGACATAAAAAAACGCACAGTGGGGAGAAGCCTCACCAGTGCAGCGACTGTGGGAAGGCCTTCAAGACCAGGAACTGTCTCAGGATGCATCAGATCATCCACACTGGGGAGAAGCCTTATGAGTGCAGTGGCTGTGGGAAGGCCTTTCAGTTTAAGCATTCCCTTATCATCCATGGCAGAAGCCACACTGGGGAGAAACCCTATGAGTGTGAGGAGTGTGGGAAGGCCTTCAGCGGGAGTTCAGACCTCATCAAACACACAAGAATCCACACTGGGGAGCGACCTTATGAGTGCAGTGAGTGTGGGAGGGCCTTCAGCCGGAGCTCAGACCTAAGCAAACACACAAGAATCCACACTCAGGAGAAACACTGTGGGTGCCCTCAGTGTGGAAAAGCCTTCAGCAGCAAGGCAGAGCTCACCAAACATAGAAGAATCCACACTGAAGAGAAGCCTTACAAGTGTAAGGAGTGTGGGAAAGCCTTTCGTCATAACTGTAAACGCAGGGCTCATGAACGAGAACACACTGGGGAGAAGCCCTATCGATGTGGGGATTGTGGGAAAACTTTCCAGGATCGGCACTGCCTTACCATCCATCAAAGAATCCACACTGGAGAGAAACCGTATAAATGTTCAGAGTGTGGTAGAGCTTTCAGTGGGAAATCAAACTTGACCAATCATCAAAGAATCCACACCGGAGAGAAGCCTTACAGATGTGAGGTGTGTGGAAAGGCCTTTCATCATAGTTCAGTCCTGAGGCAGCACAGAAGAATCCACACTGGTGAGAAGCCATATACCTGCAGTGAGTGTGGCACGTCTTTCCGTCAGAGCTCAGCTCTGATTGGACACAAGCGAGTTCATACTGGGGAGAAACCTTATGAATGTGAGGAGTGTGGAAAAGCTTTCAGAGTGAGCTCAAATCTTACTGGACATAAGAAAAGAAAACATAGAGTGTGGGGAACCCACAAACTTGATGAGAATGGGAAATCCCTCTCTCCAGTAACTGGTTCTCAGACCTTTTCATTCATCAATATTTTGACCATCAACACTTGAGGGTAGTGATTCTGGTGTTTACACTTTCTCATTTCTCCTTCTACTTCTTACACTGGTCCCTCTTGTCTCCTGTATTGGTTCTTCCTGGTTCCCTGACCCCCTAATTGTGAGACCCCACCAAGCCTTTGTCCTTGACCTTCCTATTCAGTGTCTCTTCAGTGAGCACATTCACTTCCAAGGCTTTGTCTATCAATAACAGTACTGTAATATTAAATACTAGTGCTTGACACATGCCAGGCATTATTCTTTACAATTGTTAATCATTTAATCCATACAACATCCCTATGGGATGAGAAAATTGAGGCATAAAAAGATGAAGAAACCTGCTGTGGATCACTTAACTAGTAAATTCTGAACAAATGCCCACTGAATGCTTAGACTTACCTGAGCAATTTCCATTATCCTGCACCACATCTCTTGGATATGAAGCTATACCTCAGTTCAACACAGAAAATTTTTTTAATTGATAAACATTGATCATCTTTAGCAAGTTTTGCTTTAACTTAAAGCCTGAATCGTACTTCTCCTTAACGGATCAGAATTGCCGAGATTCAGTGGGGGAACGGAGGCAGGGCAAGGGCAGATTTTAAAATTACAGATAAGCAGAAGTCAGGTATACACTGCTCAAGCAGCAGTGTACGTATGGAAAAAGCATGAAGCCTGACCCACTTTGTTATAAATACACTAAAAGGTCTTCAAGATGTTGATTTCTTAAATATTTGCTATATCTGTTTGCATGACATATGAAATGCTCTTTCAAATAGATTAGTAAATTTATATCTGTCTTTTCAAGTCTTTCAGTGTCTAACATCCTTTCTCTTGCAAATGTTATAGGTCCTTACTGCAGACAGAATTAAATTAAATACCCACATGCAATAAGGCTGTTAAAATAGAAATTGAAAATCTTAGAAGAGGATGCAAATGTATGTCAACTTAATTAACATAATGACCATAATTGAGAATTAAATTTAGTTCAAAGTTCCCTGACTGGTAAAGAGATGAGCAATGTGTTCCCCAGCATTTGTCAAAAGTGTTTTACAAGCTAATGTTTTTTAAAAATAATAAGTTTGAGAAATGCTGGCTAGGTGGAGGTATTTATTCCCTTAAAGACTTCTCAGGGTTTATACTATGCTAATGTCCTTTCAGAGTCTTAAACAAAGGAACTGTAAGAAGCATTTCCCAAAGTGCTGGACGAAAGAGTTGTTTGGAGGAGCACCTTCATGGACTCTTGTTTCACAGAAAACATCTTGGGAAATGGTTACACATTATCTAATATGGACAAGGAGTCCAAGATACACAATTTTCTAGTAACAAATTCCAAAGGGAATTACATGGCTTATTATACAAAAGACAGATTAAACATTGTTTCTTACGTTCAGTTTCTACAGGAAATTAGAGCATGTCCTTTATATGGCCATTTCTTATATAGTTTGTTGAAGAAAACCAAGATGAAAACATTTAGGATATAACTCTAAAATTGTCTCTGTGGAGGATGACACTCTGTACATGTGGCTTTTGGATGATATAACGTGACTTAAGGGCAGAGTTTAGGATATGTCTGGAGAATTGGCAGTGCTTTTCCAAATCTTTTTTGACTGCAAGGACCCCTTATTTGATGATCAATAAATTTTACCGACACTCTCTCCCCCATGCATACACACACACAAGTAGTTGTACTTTAATGCTTGATGGCAAAATGTTGTCATGTTCTAGAAAATCTGAGGTTTTGTTAATTACAACAGCATGTATATGCTTTTGGAAAATGTATACACATGTTCAGGATGGTTTTTTTACCCACAGGCCATGAAGTTCATTTGGATTTTGGACTCAAAGTCCTTAGCCCATCATGAGAACCCTCCAGTGCATGCTTTCAAGTCACTTCTTTGGTCAGTCTTTTAACAGAATCTGGCAAGGTTTCAATTCCAGTTTAAATTCTGGACAGTCCTGGAGTGTTGATGTTTTGTGTTATTGATCAGAGAGTCATGTTCTTCAGACACCAGTTAACTGGAGGGGGTGGCAAGCCTGACATCCCTCTGTGAAAGCTGAGAAGCCTCTGTACTGAGCCCAAATAGAAGACGTTTAGACTTCATCCTCACCAGTCCATCTTCAACATGACCATTGTCTCCCTAATATATTCCTATGATCTTGACACCTGCTTTTTTAAAAAAATTATTTATTTTTATTGAAGTATAGTTGATTTACAATATTTTGGTTGTTTTATGTGTACAGCTGCTTTTAAAACTCCCAGCTGATTCTCAGTCCTGCAGTAAGAAATCCCAAATTACTATCTTGAACTCCAGGAATCTTTTGATACTTCCTGGACACTTAAAATGAACATTATGAAAAAAAACACTGAAGGAGTTTCAGATATTTTACCTGTGGAAAAAATCATTTAGAAGGGATCCTAAGGTGGAATAGACTCTGCTATACAGTTGTAAGTTTGGTAGACAGGCATAATTTAGAAGGAATTCAAAGATCAGATGCATAGTTGCATAATCAAACATGTTAGTGTTTCTTGAAACCCTAAGATTCTTGTAGTTCTAATTGTGAAGTTACCAAAACGAGTTGTTGATTTAGTTATTTCTTAGAAAAATCACCAGATAAAACTCACTTTTTTAAACCTAATTAATTCTAAATGGAAAGACAGAAAAATTTCACCATGAACATTGATACCATGAGATTGTTTTCACTTTACCTGTACCGAAGAAGTAAAGAATGCCCATTTCACTCAGTTTTTAAAAGAGTGATAAAATACAGATTTCAGAATTAGAACCACAAATGTACAGAAGTGTCTTTCTTAGCTCCTACCTATGGACTGTAGTTCTATGCCCTGGGATAATTGCAGAGTAAGATTAACCCATTGCTCACAAGGTAGTCCTTCAAAAATTTCAAGACAAAAGCTTCTCTTTCCACCAGGTAAAATATCTGAAATTTCTTCATTGCCTTTTCACAGTGTTCATTCTAAATGTTCAGGAAATTTCATAAGATTCCTGGAGTTCAATTTAGGGTTTCTTACTATTGGATTGAGAGTTAATGGAGAGTTTTTAAAGCTGGTGTCAGGATCATAGCAATAGGAAGACAATGATCATATTGAAGATGGGTTGGTGAGGGTGGAGTCTAGACATCTTGGCCTTTGTTCCATTGGTCTGTTGTCTAGCCCTACACCAATGCAAAACTGCTTAATTACTATAGCTTTAAAGTATCTTGACATCTGTAGGGTAAGTCCTACTGCTTTGTTATTATTTTTCAAGACTGACTTGGCTATTTTTGTCTAAGACTATACTTCTTCATGGATTGGAAGACTCAGTGTTATAAAGATGTCAGTTCTCCCCAAAATTGATCTATACATTCATTGCAACCTAAGTAAAAATCCCAAGGGTGCGTTTTTATGGTAATTGACAAATTGATTCTAAAATTTATGTTGAAATGCAATATAATTCTTGGCCAAGGCGGGAAGAGTGGGGAAAAGGGATAGTTAGGGAGTTTGGGATTGACATGTACACACTGTTATATTTAAAATGGATAACCAACAAGGACCTACTATGTAGCACAGGGAACTCTGCTCAGTATTATGTAACAACCTAAATGGAAAAATGTATAACTGAATCACTTTGCTGTACACCAGAAACCATCACAAGATTGTTAATCAACTATGCTCCAATATAAAATAAAAAGTTTAATTAAAAAAACATATACGTAATTCTTGGCCAAGAATAGCCAAGACTGTAAAAGGTAAAATTTTGTCTTTTACAAGTAAGTTTTGGAAAATATTTGTATGCCCTCAGGTCAAGAAAATATTTCTCAAACAAGACACCAAAAAAAGGTTAATTTTAAGGAAAGTAATTAATGTAATTTTCTGATAAATTCAACTAGATTAAAATGAAGAATTATTTTTTCAAAATCACCATAAGGAAAGTGAAAATACAATTTTCTCATGAAATGAAAAAGATACTTGGAACAAATATACTTGGCAAATTATTATCTAAAATATTTTATGTTGAATCCCATGAATTGCCAAAGAGGTTGAATAGTGGCAATTTAACATGTTTCAACTTAATATAAACACTCCTATGAGTCAATAAGCAAAAGACAACCCCAAAATAGGCAAAAAGCATGAAGTATTTCACAGAAAACTGAAAAAGGATGATGACCAAACACAGAAAAATTGTCCAATCTCAGTAATTAAGGAGTTTTGACCACAATGATATGCTGTGAGATACCTACTAGGTTGACAAATTCTCTTAAATCGGGAACTTCATTCAGAGTCCTCACATAGAGAACTTTTTTTTTTTTTGATAGAGACTCAACCATATTTGGGCAATAACTTATCTATTACATGAACCCCACTACGCTGTAAGTTCCATGAAGGCAAGGAACTTGGAGCTGGCAGGAGGGAGAGGGGGAGATCGGGGGGAAACAATTTCCAAGCTAAGTCCTGGAGGATGAGAAAGAGACGCGAGGATCTGCTCAGAGCAAAGAGAGCGCCCACCCCAAGCCACAGAGGTGTTAGATGCAGCTGAACTCGAAAGCGCCCAGAGGGGCGAAGTCACCTAGCGCAGGTGCGATGTGTCTGGCAGCTGCGGGACGAGGCGCTGGCGCTTTCCAGATCCTCTTCTCGCGTCTGAATAACTAGGGTTCCAAACACAAAGTGCGCTGCAGAGAGGCTGGAGGAAGAACAGTGATTATTTTGAACACAAATTATTCCTTCGGAGGCACTGGCAGGATTTGTATTGAATTACAAGGGCTTTCCCAGGAATCTGACATCTATTCATTTGTTTGTAATAAAGACTGTATGCATAAAAGCACTTTTTGTTCGTGTTACTTGATTGCTGCATCCGCAGGGCCTAGAATTGTGCCTAGAATATACTGGCTGCTCAAACAGACAGATTATTTGAGCGGTTATTTTCGGTTGAGCATTGTTCTAGGGCAGTTATCTATGGCCCCTGGGTAAACAGAAGTCAAAAGAGGGGAAGATAGGGACCGACTTTGTAGTATGTCCACATTGGGCGTGAAGGAAGGACGTCTAATACTATAGGAAGTTTTAAGAAAGAGAAAACATACTTGGCAGCGGTGGGATTCGAACCCACGCCCCCGAAGAGACTGGAGCCTTAATCCAGCGCCTTAGACC